ATTATTAACAAAAAATGGACTATGCCCAGAGGAGTCATGGTCAGCATTGGTCCTAGCAAACTCGGCCCATGGTAGTAATTCGGACCAATTGTCTTGAGTGCTATTAACGAAACAACGCAAATATAATTCTAAGGACTGGTTAGCCCTTTCTGCTGTACCATTGGTCTGGGGGTGGTAAGAGGACGAAAAAGACAATTCAATCCCTAATTGTTTATTGAAGGCCCTCCAAAACGGAGACACAAACTGAGAACCTCTGTCAGATACTATATTGTGAGGAATGCCATGCAGACAGACAATTTCTCGTATAAAGATTAGTATCAGGTCTTGAGATGACGGCAATTTCTTGAGAGGAATAAAATTATCAATTTTAGTAAAAAAAAGGTCCACAACAATGAGAATGGTGGCATAACTGTTAGAACTAGGAAGTTCAACAATGAAGTCCATGGACAAGTGGGACCATGGGACCTCAGGAATAGGAAAAGGTTGTAACAAGCCACAGGGGAGTTTATGAGGCACTTTGGAAGCCGCACAAACAGAACAAGCCTGCACATATTCCTTAACATCCCTCCTGAGGTAATCCCACCAGAGTGACCTCATGATAGCAGAAGTTGATTTATCATGATAGCAGAAGTTGACCAGACACATTGTCGTGAAATACCTTAATGATATTAACCCTCTCCCCCAATGGAATGAACAGTTTGTCCTGAGGTTTACCACAGGGCGCCTGAGACTGAGCCTCCATGATGGAGCCAAGCAGTGGAGAGGACAATGAAAGGACAGTGGACGCAATGATACATTCTGGGGGAATGATATGGGACGTTTCTTGCTCTAGTATAGCATCAGTATCAAACTGCCTGGACAAGGCGTCGGCCTTGACATTTTTAGAACCAGGTCTGTAAGTGATAAGAAAATTAAAGCAAGAAAGAAATAGAGACCACCTAGCTTGTCTAGAAGATAATCGCTAAGCATCTCCTATGTAAGCCAGGTTTTTGTTATCAGTAATGATCAAAAGGGGGTCCTTGGAACCCTCTAAAAGATGTCGCCACTCCTTGAGAGCTAGAATAATGGCCAACAATTCTCTATTGCCAATATCGTAATTGCGCTCAGCAGGAGATAACTTTCTAGAAAATTAACCACAAGGATGTAACGGAGTTTCCTGGCTCTCCCTCTGGGAGAGAACTGCCCCTATCTCTGTCTCTGAAGCATCAACGTCCAGTATGAAAGGCTTACTGGTATCAGGATGTATCAATATGTCGGCGGAGGCAAACTGCTGTTTGAGAGTTTCAAAGGCTTCAATAGCCTCCTTAGACCATATCGTACTACTAGCCCCCTTGCGTGTCATATTGGTGATGGGGGCTATTACTGAAGAAAATACCTTTATAAATCTTCTGTAATAATTGGCGAAACCAATGAACCTTTGAATGGCTTTCAAACCAGTTGGTAAAGGCCACTGTAGAACAGACTGCCCTGAGGCAGAAATATTATATGCTAAAAACTGTACTTCAGACTAGTCAAAGATACATTTTTCCAATTTACAATAAAGTAGTTTTCTTAACAAGGTTTGCAGAACTTGTTTAACGTGATCGTGGTGAGACTGGAGGTCAAGAGAATAAATAAGGATATCATCCAGATAGACCAAGACAAACAAGTAAATATAATCCCTGAGTACATCGTTAATGAAATCTTGGAAAACCGCTGGAGCATTGCACAACCCGAATGGCATCACTAGATAGTCATAGTGTCCACTTCTGGTGTTAAATGCAGTCTTCCACTCGTGGTTTTCCTTGATTCTCACTAAATTGTAAGCACTTCTAAGATCAAGCTTAGTAAACACTTTAGCACCCTGGAGTCTGTCAAATAATTCAGCAATAAGAGGAATGGGGTAGGCATTTTTAATGGTGATTTTGTTCAATGCCCTGTAATCGATACATGGGCGCAACTCACCATACTTTTTAGATACAAAAAAGAATCCTGCACTAGCAGGTGAGGATGATTTTTGTATATGGCCTTTATTCATTAAATCCTTAATATATTCCTCCATTACACTACTCTGAGGAGATAGAGCATAGACTGTTCCCTTGGGTGGCATAGCGCCAGGTAGTAAGTTAATGGTCTATGAGGAGGTAGAGTATTAGACTGAGCCTTGCTGAATACTTCTTTAATGTCACGGTATTGTATAGGAATCTCAGGATTTTGAGGTGTACTAGTGGGTAATTCGATAGTGCCCACTCTTTTGGTGACATGCAATGTACACCTTTCATTACACTCCTTACCCCATTCTAATATTTCCCCATTAGCCCAGTCAATGTGAGGGTTATGCTTGCTAAGCCATGGAAATCCTAATATGATAGGACAAGAAGGAGATGCAATTACCTGAAATATAATCTCTTCCTTATGTAAGGCACCAATTGAAATATTTATGGGTAAGGTTTCATGCGTTATTAATGGTTGTGAGAGTGGTCTCCCATCAATAGCTTCAACGGCTAGGGGTGACAGTCTCTCCTTGATAGGTATAGTATTATCCTTGACAAATTGGACATCAGTGAAATTTCCAGCAGCCCCTAAGTCCATCAGGGCTTTGCATGAAAGTGCTTTTTGTCCAGAATAATCGAAATATCAATGAGAAGTCTATATTTATTCTTTTCAGAGGACGTCTCCATTAAACCTAAGACCTGTCTCCTTAAGACACTTAGGTGCGGCAGTTTCTTCGGACAAATGGGACAATTGACTCTCATATGGCCATTACTACCGCAGTATAAACATAAACCTTCATTTCACCTATATTGTTTCTCGTCCTCTGACTAGTGACCCCCAACTGCATGGGTTCAGGTTTGGACTGTATAGGAAGGTCAGGAACAACAGGTTCGAAGAGACAGGGTGTTAAAGGCATAGTCATACGCTTGGTCTTATTTCTATTATTCTCTCTGGTTCTTAGTCTATTATCAATTTGCATAACAAATGTGATAAACTCGTTAAGTTTCTTGGGTAGATCTTTAGCAGCAATTTCATCTAGCAGTGTCAGATAGTCCCTTTTTAAATGCAGAGATTAGCCCACTGCTAGTCCAGTCTACCTCGGAGGCCAGGGTACGAAATTCTATGGCATGATCCGAGGTAGACCAGTTCCCTTGTCTGATGTGCATCAGAGCAGTGGAGGGATCGTCCTCCCTGCCTAAAGGTTCAAACGTAAGTTTAAATTCCATAAGAAACTCCTGGTAATTGTGTGCCACACTCCAATTACTCTCCCATAATGGATTGGCCCAAGCTAAAGCTTTACCTTTTAAATGATTCATCAGGTAACCAATTTTAGTGGTCCTTTAAGGAATCCCCTGCATTCTTGAATATTACCATCAAAATGCGGGGGAGGAGATAGGGAGATAGTAGGTGCTTTGTGTACTATAGATGGAGGTACATAAGGTGGAGTTGAGGCTGCAGATTGCAGGTGCGCTGTTCGAGTAAGAAGCGTACTGAAGGCCTGGGCAAATTGATCCATGCGGTGATCATTCTCCTCCAGTTTCCTTTGGCAAGCAGCTATGTGCTTACACAATTCTACAGAATCTACAGGTTGCTGCTCGGCACAATTTTTCCTGTGTGGACAGTAAATGTCATTAACCACATTTTTATAAGCGGATGAATACGTGACACATACACAGTTACACAGAGAACATGGGGACACACACATTTACACGCAAAAGGAAATTGACACACTAATTACACACAGAGGACACACTCACTGACAGACACTTTCTCACTGATTTGACACACATTGACAGACACACTTACTGAAACACACATTCACTGACAGACACACACACACTCACATGCACTGACAGACGCACACTCACTGACACACGCACACACATTAACTGATAGACACACATACACACTCACTGACACGCACACACATTCACTGACAGACACATTCAGTAATACGCAGACGACACTGACACACACATATACACACAGGGGACACTGACACACAGAGGACAGACTCACTGACAGACACTGTCTCACTGATTTGACACACAAGTTCACTGACAGACACACATTCACTGACACAAGCACACACACTCACTGACAGACACACATTCACTGACACAAGCACACACACTCACTGACAGACACACATTCACTGACACAAGCACACACACTCACTGAGAAACACACATTCACTGACACAAGCACACACACACTCACTGATTTACACAAACTCAGTTACACACAAATCACACTGACACACACATTAACACACAGAGGTCACTGACATGCACACACACTCACTGACAGACACACACTTTACTCGTGGGACAACACAGCATACAAAGATGTGTGTTTTATTGCAGTACTGGCATTCACAATTAAAATTTCAGAACAAAGAAAATGTCTTCATTTAACATTTCCTAATTTATTTGAGGGAAGGGGGTACTATAGTGGCAGGAAAATAACTGTGTATGAATGAATTTAATATGAATGAGGTAAATTGTGGATGAACAGACATATAGCGCACATTCCAGGGTTCGATCCAGAACTTGGACAATATGGGTTAATATATAGAAGCCAATTCTAGCCTGGAACATAGCGGATTATGGATGTAATGTTACAGATGACCAGCAGGTGGCAGCAGAGAGCGAGGATTTACGCTCTACTATCAGGAAGCATCCCACCGCCCCTATGTCCATGTCTGCACCTACCATCCGGAAACGTCACTCCCATTCCAGAACATTCTGACGGGTTGCTATCCCCACTGTGCTCCGCCCACCTACGTTCTATTCAACCAATCACCAGTGATCAGTGGAAACAAAAAAAAAAGTAAACCTCCACTTTTTGAATTAAACTGTTGTTGTCCCGCCCACTCCTCACAAGAGTGGTGGGAAAAAAAACTTGTCAGAGCCAGCGGACGCTGATTGGCTTACACTCCCTGGTGATTCGCCAAGCCAAGCCTATGTGGGCGGAGCTCAGTGAGTCAGTGACAGGGAGGGGCGGGTTCCCGTGACGTCACTCTGCCTGGTAGGAGCCTACTCGCGCTCAGCGCTCTCCTTCAGTTGTTGCCGAACAAGGAAGCCGCGCGGCGGACGGTAAGATCTGGGGGGGGATTGCGCATGCGCGGGGCTGCTCTCCCACTAGGCTACTTATTTACTGCACAATAGCCCCTCATTAACACGTCAGGGACTGGCAGCAACTTTATCCAGGTGTTCGCGTTTTATTTCTTTTATCCTGTGCAGTGGTCATTTGTCGTGGACTACATTTCCCGTGAGGCTCAGTGTGCCTTCTGGCTGGCTAAGCATCACGGGAGATGTAGTCTACGAGAAGTTCTGCACTTTCTGGATGTAAAAACTGACTTTGCTAGTTTGTCAGGACTCCGAGTCCATTGCTGTTAATGCTGGGGGGGTGTTTTTATAAAACTCTGAGTGATTTAGGGTGTATAGGTCTTACCCAAACAGTATCTGATCAGACTGGGGGATATTATAAATAATTATTAATGACAGCTTTACTTCTATTCCCATCAATATCATATGTTTTCAACCCCCATCTCCATCCATTGTAACCTCCATCATTCATCACTGGACATTGCTTTTTATTTTGTGGCTTAGTAATTGGTTTGTGTTGTGAATGAGGTCAGAGACTGCTGTCAATATTATTATTAGTGCATGGTGATTAAGTGTAATTTGGCTGCTGAAATGGTAATAATAATAAATGATGGGTTTGGTAATAATAATAATGAGAATTAAAATGTTTGTGATCAGGCAGTGGGAGAATGCCAAATTAGGGCATGCTATGGGAAGCTATAATTATTAGCTTTTATAGAGCAAATTTATTATTAGCTTTTTAAATAGCTTTTTTTTAAAAAAAAAATGTATTAGCTTTTATATATCTTCACCATTTTCTGCACAGTTCTACAACAGGGCATAAGCAGCAAATGAAGAACAAACAAGTGTTTACTGGAATATACAGTGATGAGGACAACCAAGTGAGCTGACAATCTATAGGTGGTGTTAGAACTTGACGGTCAAGATGATAGAGGGATGTTGTGAGGGGTTGACATGGTAAATGGCTTTTTAGTGGTCAAATAAAACCTTCAGTAATGGTGTGATCACATGTACATGTCAGTGTTGCCTGTAGAGCAGAGATTGCTATATCTGTGGCATAGTATATGCCTCTATTTCCGTCTGGACGTGCTTGTTCCAGCTATGGAATTGTTTCACATTGACATTAAACTAAGGTCACTATACAAATCATTAGCCAAGCTGATGGTGTTCTGTCACATATAGCTGCAGTGTATAATATGTGAGCATACATCTACAATGAAATGTGGTGGGCTTTGGGGTGGGGAGGGGGGATTGAGGCTTTTCATTTTGATGATAATTTAGTGAATCTGTAATGTAAACGTGTCAAAATATATGCATTCATATCTGGACTTTAAATTGTCCTTAAATGGATATCGCGGCTGGCAGAATATATTGCCAGTCTCGTTTAGTCCTGTGTGGCTTCCCTTACTAAGCAATGTCCTCACCAGCGGGTTCATGGCTAGTAACGTGACTGCCACCTTCAGCTTCATTGATAGCAGAAGCAGGGAAATACCAAAAGTAGCATGTCTACGCAGAATCCATTCTCCAATCTCACCCCTTCTAGTGTTGCTAAGGTATATAGAGGCAGGATATCCACTCTTAAATTCTACGGGATTCTAAAAATCTACCAGATCATAATCATATTGTTATTTATCTCAGTCTGTTTTTCCTTGCACTGTCAAAGATGGATCAATGGAATTGAGACAAAGACACAGAGAATATAGCAGAGTGGGAAGGATTGCTCTATGTATGATGTAATGGTATGGGTGGGGGATATAACCCTTCATTGCTGTGCGATGGCTCACAAGCTGGCATTTAGACGGATTAGACCGCAGCAATTTCATTCCTCTTTGACCCAAACCTGTCAGGCGATCGATACACAAATGGGTTTTCCCGTTCTTCATGTGCTGTTCACAGGGATTAGCAGATATTGCAAGCGGTAGTTGGGACAGCTTGTCTTAGAGAAATTTTTCCAAACAGCCTGCTTTCCAGTTGGTTGTATGTGCTGTAGATCTTAGCTTTATTAATATCCTTGTTATCCAGATTGGTGGTGGCATGTGGAAGGCACTATGGCCAACACAACCTGGCACTGATTACCCTTCTGATTGCTTTTAGTTTTGCTGGCATGAATCTCAATGACTTTAGAAAATTACTACGTTTGCGCGACTTATGTATGATGCCACCTGGCAATGTATTTGACCTTTTTAGGGCACTTCATTCTGAGAGTGAATTATCTGCATAGCAGTTACGGTTTTCTCACGCAAACATTTCTTTTAGCTCTTTGACTGGGTTTCATTTACGAGAAACATACCTGTTTAGTACTAGCGTTGGGGACAACACACTGCTTAAGGTGTTCTTTCCAATTATCGTCGGAATGTTGTCGAGGACCATGTTGTTTCTTTGCTCAGGCATCCAAAGGGTTAATTAACACACCAGACTTTATCTTTTCTGTCTCCCCGCTTACTGGATGCTCTTGTCTCCGCGTTTGTGAATCATCCAGTCAACATATTGTAGCATTTTAATTTGCTTGGTATCCTGCTCGGCTTTTAGTCCCAGACAGGTTGTAGTAGGCAGACTGGCACATCTGAGAGTTACTCACGCCTCATTACACATGCCAGGAAAATGACATCCATTTAACGTGTATGGTTGGGTCCACATGTCTGTTCTTCCTGTGCTTCCTTTTTGGGATATCTCCAGAGCTTGTGATCGTGGTCCGAATGCCCGCCGGCTGCTTACACTAATTGTTCGCCAGTTTGAATGGCAGAGCTTTACAATGCCACCAAATACAAAAGCACAATTAATAAAAATACAACACCACTGAACAAATTAATCATCACAATTTGCAATTTAAATGAAATGACGCTTATAATTAGGGCAGCATTGTTCTTTTACTCTGTTCTAATTTAAAGGTTATGCGGTTGGATTCGTCACATGTCTATGGGATCCTGAAGTGCCAGAGAAGATAATGTATTTTTTTTTTTTTTTTTGCCCTTGAACTGTGTTGATAGGACTTTGGAGGTTATCAGCAATAGCTAGTGGAACTGCAGAAGATAATGAATTAACCTCTCACTTGCCAGAGCTGTATAAAGCGCATAGGTTTATAGAACCCATGCCCTTTAACTGCTTCACATCCTGACATACCCAATATATTTATGCCATCAAAGTACCATGAAGATGGCATAGAGTTTAACGTTCACCCCTAAGTGGAGATCTATCATTTGTTACATTTCCTTCTGTGAATTGTGGAACGGAACACCTCCCAGCCGAACAGCTGATTCATGCCTCTAATAATATCTGTTCTTGGAGAGATGAGAGCTCTTACACCAAGCTATTGTCTGCCGTCAAACTCTGTGGATATGATATAAGCACTGAGGATTTCAACCATGAGAAATGGCCCCCTTTCTCACACCCCCATCCCATCCACTGGAAGGGGGAATTAAAGCATGATGATGTTATAAATAGCAGCTGGAATATAACTGATACATACAGCACAGATTGGGCCAATTGCAAGTCAAGGAGGAGGCTACACAGCTGGCTGACAAATGCTGTATAAATTCCTGGAATTAAGACCGTTCTATGGGAAGGGAGGGATATGTGCTCTACTTTTTTCACAGCTGATATGTTTAACCAGTTCTCTGCCAGAGCAGCTGACATTTAGCCCTTTACATACCAGAGTCCTGACTTATGTGTTTGACTCCTAAATGTCAGAGAAATATTTGCACCTTTATCTCAGATCTACTAGATTTAATATGCATCTGGTCACAGTCAGTTTACAATTTCAAGTTCTATATATAATATGTATAAATTTGGTCAGAGACCAAAAGCGATGACAACTGGGAAGTGGGAGAAACCCCTTTAGAAGGCGAGTCAGTTCTGTGCTTAAAGAGAAGATCTGATTGGCCTGAATAAAGAGGGCTCTACCTTGTGAAAAGTTAAAGAAACACTACAGCGTTGGGAATGCAAACCATGTATTCTTAACGTTAGTGTTCTAGTAACTAGTCTCATAACTGCCCCTCACCACCATGAAATTATCATTTATTTATTTTTTATTCAATTTTACTAATTTCCACCAGCATGCCTGCCATTTTTGCGGTGTCCCCACTCCACCCCCCGAGTCCCAGGTGGATGATGGGAAAGCAAGATATAGAACCAAAGTCAATTATTGGGAGCGAGATTACTTTTTTCAATAAGAAGTGACACTCTCTAACACATCTAATTATCCACACACTCTGATACACATGTACAGTAGAGCTAGCTGCCCACACAAATGTGTCAATCACAAACCTGATTAGCAGCACACTCATACTTAAAGAGATACCTTGCCAGTCACACACACACATACATAGATAACTAGCCAACTCCACACACTCACTCCCACATACATTATATATTTTTTCTCTCACTCCTCCTGCAGTACATCAGTTGGTAGTGACGAGGTAGGTGTTTTTCTGCATGTTCGGTGTGTTTCCTGGTTCACAATACTGGGGATCATGTGATTGTTACCCTTGATGCGCTAACCCTTAAAGGAAAAACACACTCAAGGGAGCAAACATTGCAATCTGCAACTCACGTTGTGAGTGGGTGATCCCACTCCAAGCACACCTATGGGATGGCTCCTGTCACTTACCTTTTATCAGGTGCTGAATGCGAAGTGCTGTCCACACATATATAATACTGTCACTGCCTTAGAACTGGGAAAGCCAGGTTAGAATACCAGTCAGACCACCTCACAGTAAGTGTCCCTGGGAAAGACATCTAACGATATTCATGTAACTACCTCAATAATATGAGAGTGATATGAACCAAGAGAGTCATGCTGGCTCGGACATCGCATTAACAAGGTTGGCGTCAGATGTTAAGTGGGCAACTGGAACAAACCATTCTTGGACATATAATATATATGTAGAAATTGTTTAAAATAAGGGGAATTTCAAGAATTCTGACTTAAACCAGCATACCTCTGGCATTGTATAATAATGAGTTAAACCTATATCAGTGATACAGTATTAAGGTTCCAAACCCTATATGAAATGTATCGTGTGTGTGTATAATATAACAAATTTTGCATAGTGCATCCTCCCATGTCAGTGATTCTCTGTAATCTCACGGTATTTTACTTGAAAGAAGGTCTCCATTTAACATGTCTCTGTACCCCTCAAGGTTAACCCCCTCGAATGCTAGTGGATCGCGCAGCACAAATCAATGAATGATGCTCCCAGCACTTAATATGTTAACTGTTTCCCTGTGCTACAGTGCTCAGAGCTGTCATTTTTGGTCCTACCCACACGTTGTTTCATTCACCCCAGGAGGCTTTATTTAATGTAGACAGACTGTTAAAGTAAGCCTTAGAATGTACACGACGGGCTCTTCGTTTCTGAGAAATCCACAAGCTCCCACATCTTCTATACTGCTACGCCACCCACTCACTGGAGTTCCTAGGACAAAATGTTTTCAGTGCAAGGCTGTCAAACAGGAGGCAATGGAGCGTCTCTGAACACAAGGACCTGCCTCTCTCCGTATTAACCTCTCCGCTGCCATAAGTATAAAGCATTTCTGGTCTCCCACTAGCTGGCTTTTTAACCTTTTCTGACTTCTGTCACGGAATAGGTAAAACTATAGATCTTGCCAATGCCGCACTGATCAGACTAAATATGGAGTCTGACACATTTCTGCTTTTGTAGTAGGAAGACTTTCTCTGCAAGTTAATTGCGGAAAGGTGTTTGTAATGTCTCCAGAGACAAAAAGAAATCTAATAACCATAAACCATATGTCTTACTTCTGTGATATAGATTATTGGATGATGTAGCACTGCAGATAAAATGGCAATCCATGCTGTGAATGACTGACCAATGCAGGATTTCTCCAGGTGGAAAGAATTTGTAATATACACTGAACAAAATTGTTTTTTTTGTCCCCACTTTTCAAGAGCTGAACTCAAAGATCTAAGACTTTTTCTATGTACACAAAATGCCTTTTTCTCTCAAATTTTGTTCATAAATCTGTCTAAATCTGTGTTAGTGAGCACTTCTCCTTTGCCGAGATAATTCATCCACCTCACAGGTGTGGCATATCAAGATGCTGGTTAGACAGCATGATTATTGCACCAGTGTACGTTAGGCTGACCACAATAAAAGGCCACTCTAAAATGTGCAGTCTTATCACACAGCACAATGCCATAGATGTCGCGAGTTTTGAGGGAGGGTGCAATTGGCATGCTGACTGCAGGAATGTCCACCAGAGCTGTTGCCCATGAATTGAATGTTAATTTCTCTACCATAAGCCATCTCCAAAGGCGCTTTTCAGATAATTTGGCAGTACATCCAGTCCCGCCTCACAACCGCAGACCACGTGTAACCACACCAGCCCAGGACCTCCACACCCAGCATCTTCACCTTCAAGATCGTCTGAGACCAGCCACCCGGCCAGCTGCTGCAACAATTGGTTTGCATAACCAAAGAATTTCTGCACAAACTGTCAGAAACCGTCTCAGGGAAGCTCATCTGCTTGCTCGTCATCCTCATCGGGGTCTCGACCTGACTGCAGCTCGTTGTCGTAACCAACATTAATGGGCAGATGCTCACATTCTATGGCATCTGGCACTTTGGAGAGGTGTTTTCTTCACGGATGAATCCTGGTTTTCACTGTACAGGGCAGATGACAGACAGCGTGTTTGCGGTCATGTGGGTGAGCGATTTGCTGATGTCAACGTTGTGGATTTAGGGGCCCATGGTGGCGGTGGAGTTATGGTATGGGCAGGTGTATGTTATGGACAACAAACACGGGTGCATTTTATTGAATGCACAGAGATACCATGACGAGATCCTGAGGCCCGTTGTTGTGCCATTCATTCACAGCCATCACCTCATGATGCAGCATGCTCATGCACGGCCCCATGTTGCAAGAATCTGTACACAATTCCTGGAAGCTGAAAACATCCCAGTTCTTGCATGGCCAGCATACTCACTGGACATATCACCCATTGAGCATGGTTGGGATGATCTGGATTGGAGTATACGACCACGTGTTTCAGATCCTGCCAATATCCAGCAACTTCGCACAGCCATTGAAGAGGAGTGGACCAACATTCCACAGACCACAATCAACAACCTGATCAACTCTATGCGAAGGAGATGGTGGTCACACCAGATACTTACTCATAACTCCCAACATTTCAAACTGGGCACAGAGGGACACTTTAATTTTAAGGGTGCAGGTGTGGCCAAGGGCAGGGCTGTTCTTTAGTAATTTTAGGTGACTATGTTTGAGAGCTAATAGATATGTTTTGGATATCATCTTTGTCACTTTTCCCGTGTTTTCTCTTGACCGCTAATTAGAGCTAATCAAAGTAACCAATCTGTATTTCTGATTTCTTAATTAAATTTCTATAGTTACCTAAGCTGGATGTCTAATGATGTGACCACATTGTATTCTCAACTCAAGATGTAGTATGACATAATGAAGAGAATGAACCCCTGTGGGGTCATTCATTTTATTTATTTATTTATTTATAAAATATTTTACCCGGAAGGATACATTGAGTTTCCTCTCGTTTTCAAGTATGTAGTTTAGTGAAATAAAGGCAGAGTATCCGTGTCACCCGTTATATTAGCAAAGGTTTAGAACTTCTAAGGTGAGCTTTAACAGCATCCCAATGGCCTTCAGCTTAACATCTCTGTAATTGTTTGTTTCTTTGTTTTTGTTTGACTTTGGTGGAGGGGGACTGGTTGTATAATCTGTTGTTTTAGTGTGCTAAGGTCCTTGATCTTTCTTTTACACCACACTCTGTAGGGTTGTTTTTTGTTTTGTTTTCCCCTTTGTAGATAAATTGGTTGACACGAAATGCAACGTCACTAGAAGTCACTTGTAGCCTTGTTAGTAACAGGATTGTGTAATTAATAAACTCCTGATTAAGGCAGGTTGACCGCTTTATAAAGCAGACCAAGCATCATCTTTTCCTGTTCACTTTTTAGCATCTGATGACCGTCTGACATGTCTATTCTCTATCTAAAAATTGTGCTGAATTTAGACTTGCGTGTTGGCTTGTCCCCAAACCCCATAAACCCTGACCAGCTGAGCTTGTCGTTTCCATTTATTCTCTGTCTATCTGTTATGCACCCTCTGCTGAGTCCTCTGTGAAATAGAACTCTCCTGACGCCTCTCAACCTACAGATTTTCTCCCAATCCAGTTTTCCAGAACTACCCCAGACTCTGACATGAGGGGGAGGGTGGAAACAATGGATTGTTATTCTAAGTGAGGCCTAAATGTATTGTGTAACCTTGTAGCCATGTGTCAAAACGCATGTCACCATGTCAGTCAACAATCTGAATTCAGAGAAGGCTGAAGCTACACTTAAAGAAACATCTGACCACATGTTCTTGGGCAGAAATAACTGTTGTGCATTGTTTAATATTTTTGAAATATAATAACCATCCCTTAACAATATAAGAATTTTGTTCTACCTTTTTGGGATTTTGTAATTGCTACATTCTTTGATATTGTTATTAGGCTTGGAGTATTTATTACATATAATTTTCAATGTTTTGGGTGGCTGACTTTTTAAAATCCTCATATACCTTCCTTCTCTTCCTTTCATTCTAACCTTGTTGTGGTGACACTCCGTTTCTACATTCTTCCTTTGCACTATTTACAGACCTCCTTCCATTTTGTGATTGCGTCCATCTAGTCAAAAGTTTGGGAATCCGAGAAGACACTTTAGTTTTGGTGCACTTAATGCACAGTTTGTCAGAACTTCAACTGATTGTTGTAACTTCATGTTTTGCGTACAATCATACCTGTATATTTAAATGCCTTTACAAGTAAAGTTTCAAACTGAATTTGAGATTTTCTTAATGCAAGGATTAATAGATTTCTGTGGCATTATTCACGTCCCCATGTGGTGGTAACGTCATAAACAAGTAGTACTGCAGGTTCTTTCTTACTCCTAGGCAAATCAAGGATGTCTGCAAACCTTTTACATGTGTGCGTAAGAATTTAATCAACAACCATCCAACCATCTTGATTTTGGTGTTTCATCCATTCCTCTTCATAAATCTTGAATGTTGCTAAATGATCATTAAGTGGTCATGCCTCCATCTTGTTGTGGTTACCCCTGCTTCATTTCTTATGAAAAAAAAAAAAAATCTTTGCAGTGGACTCATGAAGTCTGCTTGTTTTGTTTTTGCTTACTTTCCACCAGATGTCTGGCTAACATCTAGAAAGAAGCTTGCGATTCTGCCGCTTCCCTGGGACCTTCCAGCCCAAGTCACCAAGCCTGGAGGCCACAAGTCATGTTTAAGTGTGAATCCAGGCAAAGAGTGGGCAACGAATTCTTTATCAAATCTATTAGTGACGGTGCGGCAGAAAAGCGTAGAACCACGTTTTTCAGAGTGGGTATCACCTTAGGGATCCTCTCTGCTCATTTTGGGGGTAGGTATATTTATTTCTAGTTGTTGGTTGGTTTTGTTTGTATTTTTTTTTATTTTTTTTTCTTTCTTTCTTCCAAGGTATGCATGCTCTTTGGTAGTAAATACCTCTATGTAGTCTTGTGACTTTATCCACTCAGTTCATGTAGTCTCCTGAATTTCAGCTGAATGTTGAAAAATGCAAAGAAGCAGCATTTTTGAGTTTAGCACATAAACGTAGTTAGTATATATCTGTACAATGTGCGGAGTGCTTTTACAGCAGACTGGAGCATATACAGTTGATGAATATGTTATAGAATTCCTGTTAAGCCAAATGTCCATTGGAATTCCTATTACATGTTATATCTGGTAGGTCTTACCCAAGAATTTCATTTCCAGTGATGGCTAATTATCAATGCTCTTTATCAAACGGAGCCTTTTCCCCAACTACACCTCCACCCTTTGTTCTGTAGGCTTTTTCAAGTTAAGCCTTCAGAGTTCCACATAGTTAGGTGTCCATTGAGCTCATCAGTCGCACAGTGAGTAACCAAAGTTTGACATGTAACAAGCCAGTAATAACATAATTTAGGTCAAACTTATTACTCACCCATTCAAAGGTTGCAATAAAGTAGTTGGATGAAAAGACTTAAAAATATATTGTACAGATATAGAGCTCTGACTTGTAGAGGACAATATATGCTTCGGGGTCTATGATATTTTTATTTAATGCATTAACTGTCTTTGAAACTATGTAAGGGTGATCTCATGGGGCACTTTTTGAGTGATTCACACTGGCTTTGAGTCCATGATCATCATGGATTTCTAAAAATAATATGATCGAAACCTATACCTCCTAAAAAGGGAATCTCCTGGGCCACAGCATAATTTATACCTCACATGTTCTAGATAAATGATTGGGTCATCATAAATCCTAGTCAAATCAACATGCCCTTGTATTAGTCTCATGCAACTGAGAATACCTCACCTTCCAGAGTCAAGGGCCTCTTCATAAAACACGTCCGTTAATATAGCTATAGGTCTTACTCCTTGTACTGATGTAATTTCCTTTAAACTTAAATTGTAAGTGTTAGATGAAAATCTGCAACTACAGGGTAGTGATAGCGTTCTGTGTAAAAGCTTGCATTCATGAAAACAACTTTTTTCATTTTTTTATTTTATTTTATTTTTTTAAATCAAGTTAAAAACAAAGACAACAACATATCAGGAGCCATGTTGTACGTGAACTCTCACACATGTGCAAGAGTAGAAAAATATAGACCACCGAAGATACTGCTGGATTCTCCTTAGATCTGTTTGTGCATTAACAGATGTAAGTGACATCCAAAGGGGAACAGCATAACAGGGCCATTTTTGCGAAATTTGACTACAGGGACAAAGTAGTCCCTGTAGATCAGGGGTGCCCAAAAGGTAGATATCCAGATGTTGTAGAACTGCAACTACCATGATGCTTTGCATGCTTTTAGAATGACAAAGGATCATGGAAGCTGTCGTTTTAAAACATCTGGGGTTCTTTCTATTGGGCACCCCTGCTGTAGATCTTCTGATATCAGTTTGGTCCTTAACCCCTTAAGGACACATGACATGTGTGACATGTCATGATTCCCCTTTATTCCAGAAGTTTGGTCCTTAAGGGGTTAAAGACCTAATGGCAGCACAGGTTCAACATATTTAGCTTTGGCTGCTGAATTCAGCCCTTCAGTCATCATTTTAGTGGGTCGTTCAGATTGCTGTGTCCTCATAGACTGTCATTGGTCTTTAAAAGAACACTCCCACCCCTGTTACCACTTCATTTTAATTGTTGTTATGGGGCAGGAGAGTCTAGGTGCCTCTTTACCTTCAATACATCTTGTTACAGTCAATGGGCAGTCCATAATGGGCATCAGCTGATGTTCTAAGCCTGTCACCAGCCACCTGGCAAACCTTCCTGATAACTCCAGCAGTCTATGAGTAGAGAGGAGGCAGAGCTGACAGAGTGACCAACTTTGGATTTAAACCATTGGAATACTTTTTAACCTCTGGAAGTAAGATGGCACCATGACACTCCTGCCCTATCACTTTATAGAGATGAAGTTTGTTCTGGGAGTGTCCCGTTTTTAAAAGGGATCTAAGAACCCTGTGATAAGTGTGGTTGTGTGTTTTTGTCTTGTGGGGAGTTGTTTTGTTCTGTGTTTTACCCCCATTTCTCTTTGTACTTATGGTAAATAATATTTAAAATTTGATTTGTTAGAATAGGAGAATAATTTATTCGGTGTTTCCATATTTTTTAACCAATTTTTTTTTCATTTTACTTATTGGTTAATTATTACTATATTATACTACTTCTATACCTATTTACTTATTGGTATGATACGGAGATTCACACCCTTTGGTAAAGTAACCAGAGTAACTTTGGGAGGGTGGGGTAGGATAAATCGTTCAGTGGCATATTAACTTGGTAGTTTGTTATTCTTCTGGTTAGAAGACATCTCAGATATGCATAATTTTTATCCTAATCTCAATGTTAGTAACTGACTAGTGCCACATTGATGTGACGTGAAGTATGGATTCTTTGACTTCTAATAATAATAATTATTACAAAGACTAGTTTTATAACTATCTCTGTACTCTCTCCAGGGGCAAAGACTCCCGAACCGAAACCTCACAATTTGGAGATGGGGAAGGACTACTACAAGATACTGGGTATCCCCAATGGAGCCAATGAAGAGGAGATCAAAAAGGCCTATCGTAAAATGGCACTCAAATACCACCCAGACAAAAACAAGGATGCTAATGCTGAGGACAAGTTCAAGGAGATAGCAGAGGCCTATGATGTTCTCAGTGACCCCAAGAAGAGGGGTGTGTACGACCAGTATGGTGAAGAAGGTCAGTCTGTAGCTTTCTTGTATTGTTAGAGACATCCATATTCTAGGTGAGAGAAACAATAAGCTATTAAAGTTACTATGCTCTGAGAGATTTTGAAAAAGGTCAAAAGCTGTTCTGAGGTCAAAGATCGACCTTTTATTTGCATAGGTTATATACCAGGAGGCTTACTATTTTTCAGTTCACAATAGTTTGTAAATGCATCAATTCACAAACATCTCTGCAGCTATAAGCCCATCAATAAAGTGACAGACACTGCAGGATGAATCTATACTTCCTACTCTGCTTTTCCAGACTTTTGTACAAGATGCACATGTTATACAAGTCCACATTTCCCAATATGCATTTCCACTGCTTATTGTGAAGGAGCTTGAACTGCAATCCATGTGATAACAACTGCTTTGCTTAGGCTGCAGTTTAATGCTTCCATTATATCACATAAACACGAGTTGGGCAAGGTTGAAGGGGTATACTTAACGTTAACGTAAAATGATGGGAACCTGTAGATTGTCTGAGTCACTTCCTGGTCTTGGCACAGCTCACTGCATAAGCTTCGGAACACCAGTGCAGGATCATCTAAGAGCTGTATCATCTTTATTAATCATACTGATTTGTTTTGTTTTTCCTTCAGTTCCAATAGTTGCATAAAACTATTGGCTGAACGTGAAAAAGTAGCAAAACAGACTTTACATCAATTAATGATACTGTACGTACCATAAAAATTTCATGTTGTTGATGTAATCATAGTTCCTGGAGTCACATGGCACCATCCCAATGTTCACCGAACAATTTAAAATATTTAAAAAATGTCTGGGCACACGTATATCCAAATTGCAGGCTTTATCAGCGAGAAACAGGTAGTGTTTTGGCACAAACAGGAGCCTTTTCTCAAGTGGCTTGAGAAATGCTCTTCTTTAGGCTGAAACGTTGCCTGTTTCTCTCCAATAATTACAAATGTAATCTGTGTGTCCTCAGACATTCTTTATTTTGCTTATTAGGGTCTTGTAGTGTTTGTTTTTATTCTTAGTGAGTGCCAGTTATAAATATTGCTCGCACCGAACAGTTTACCATTGATATAAGGTCCCCCTGTACCATGGATACATCTCCTGCTCCTACTAGCTAATGCAGGATTGCACTTCACATTAGGCACATTAATTTATACCAGCTCTGGGTGACGATGATGAGCTGAAATCCCTAGGTGAGCTGTGCAATTCTGCTCGTTATGATGAAATAAAACTTAAACACTTTTTTTGGTGCTGTGGACTTAATATAATCTTTATGGTACACATGAGTTTTGCATCAATCTTTGTCACAGATATTTCCCAGTTCACACATAAACACTATAAAGTATGCATTCAATAAGCAAACCCTTCTTTTCTTTCAGTTAATGTTTTATATGTGCACACTAAGATGCAATAACGTTTATATTGCCTTTTCTAATTTAATAGACAGACTGGAGAGAAAGGGGGACAATCTTAGAAGGATTTGGATCAGAATATAGTTACTAATAAAATGTACTGGATCCATCTAGTCTGCCTGCATTTGCAGTCATCTTTCCAGGTCCAAAAGTAAATTATATGAAGCTATTAATATCCTCCCAGGCTCTTCTAAACTGGATCTCCAAGGACTTATTTGTACAAAACGACTGTGCTGTTTATTCTAAAAGGGAAACTGAGCCAGGACTCTTTCCCAGTGCATACCTGTCAGGGCCACGGGGAGAGCGAGACTTGTTATATGCTCGTCATTTGCGATGAATAAGCCTTGGGGGAGAGATAAAAATTAGATTTTAAATTCAGATGAGCCTGAATAAACCATTATGATTATTTATTTAAAGATCTGTCCTTTATACCAATGCAAAAATAATTTTAAAAAATCCTCAAATAGGAAGTTAGCATGTTTATCCAATAAATGCAGTGCAGGGATATCTGAAAGTTGTAGGTCAATTATCAGATTTTTACAAGAACTCACAGAAACCTTAGCGGTGCTTCCTAATGACATGAACAACTTTGTAATTGGAGAAACCTTGCAGGGACAGGAAGGACGGGCATATGGTGCTGTGACATTGCATACCAGCAAGATGAAAGTATTTTAGAATGTGGAAGTGGGGAGAGAGAAGGTAGGGTCATGACATAAAAAATATATAAACAGTGGCTGAGACCAGGAAGTGGCTGAGAATTTTCAGCCAATCCTGGCACTTCCATTGTTCTCCTTGGCAGTAAGAAACACATCTCTAGACAGCTGTGACAGTCTGTAGAAGAAGGTGAGGGCGGCATGTTTTTATAGCTGTATTGATGTTTGTGATGGGTGTAGCTATAACAGAGTTCAAAGGCATGGGAGCCTGTTGTACCATAGGCATTGCATTGTACATAAATAAATAGTACTTGGAGTGACTCTTAATGAAATGTTTTGTCCCAAATGCTTAACATTAGAGATAATACTTAAACTGACACTCATCACCAAAATCCTGCACATTAAAAGGTTAGTTGATTTGAAGTGGTCATGGTGAAGTCTGTATGTGCAGCATTTCGCTGTGAAATTCTGCACATACAGAGTTTAACCTCTTTGCTCCTGGAGGTGTAATTCCAACTCCAGCAGCATCATTGGGGGTTCAGTCAGCCTGAAAAAGAGTTCTAGCCTGGCTAACGTTAGTTCTGTGCAAATCTTGCACAGACACTCATTCGTTAGATTCTGTAGCCCTGCAGAAACCAGTTGCCTACAGAACAGACCTGTTGCCCAGCATGACCAGGTAAGGGGGCAAACCATTGTAAAACAGCTTGCCCCATTACTGAGCTCCAGAGTATTGCTACCATTATAACCACTACAGTGGGCTGTAGAGGTTAGGATGGTTGGAGTAACCCTTTAACATCATGTTTTTTGGGCTAAAAGAGCCTGTCCATGCACCATCCCCTCTGTAAACACTTCTTTTTCTATGAAGCATTAGATCTCCTGAGACTGCAGCAAGACTCTCATGGCAAGGGATGAAAGGTCAATAAAACTCCTTTGGATTCACTTTTAAATGGGGATTTAAAATCGGATTGTAGAACCTTTGTTAGAAATACATATTTTTTTCTTAAATGTAAATGCCCTTTCAGCAGCACCTAACCTCACAATGATTTCTTACGTAGTAATGGATTGAAATATTACTTAAACAAATCCGTTCATCTGTTGTCATATTTTCTATTATGGCAAAGCAGTGTTATTTAATTTTTGTTTTTCTTTCTTTTTTTGCCCTGCAGGTCTTAAGACAGGGGGTGGATCATCAGGTAATACTGGAAGCTCTTTCCACTACACTTTCCATGGGGACCCACATGCCACATTTGCTTCTTTCTTTGGTGGATCCAACCCATTCGACATCTTCTTTGGTTCAAACCGCACTCGAATGTCCAATGGGTTTGATCATGAAGACATGGACATTGATGATGACGAGGATGATCCCTTTGGAGGTTTCGGTCGTTTCGGTTTCAATGGTGTGAATGGCTACCATCGGCGGCATCCAGAACAGCTGCACTCCCGCCGCAAAGTACAAGATCCACCAGTGGTGCACGAGCTGAAAGTATCACTAGAGGAAATTTACCATGGCTGTACAAAGAGAATGAAGATCACGAGGCGGCGACTCAACCCAGATGGACGCTCACTAAGAACAGAAGACAAGATTCTGAATGTAGTCATTAAAAAGGGCTGGAAGGAAGGTACCAAGATCACCTTCCCTAAGGAAGGCGATGCTACATCAGAGAATATCCCCGCAGACATAGTGTTTCTACTGAAAGATAAACCACATGCTCACTTCAAGAGGGATGGATCTAATGTGGTCTACACAGCTAAGATCACCCTGAAAGAGGTAAGTCACTGTACATTTGAACCTAAACATTGCTTGTACTTAATACCTGCAGTTTCCTATGTTTGATTTTTGTTATTTTCTATTTTTGTTTAGCAGGCAATTTAAAGATACACTCTTAACATTTACGCTAGGGGTTATGTTCATACTCCAACCTTGTCCATAATTTCAGCCATCCAACTACTTGAATTGCACAAGTCAGATACTTGAACTTACAAGCTTTGTGATGAGTTCACTTATGTGCCCATACAGTTTTCGTTCCTAGGTGGTTTTTACACACACACACACACACACACACACTCTCTCTTTTTTATTAATTATAAATTCTATTTTGTGTGGTTTATTTATTTAGTCACAGTTTACAAGAGTAGAACAGAAACACAAGTATAAAATGCTCATTAGTGGGTTACTCCAACCCTTTTTTAAAGTGCAGTTTTCTATTTAAAATGCCTCCATGGTTACTACATGCATTTGTACTGCTTGCTAACAAACTAGTTTGTTACATGTATTTAGCCTAGGCCCCCTCTAATACTGCCATGTCTGCATTTTACCACAAACACTTTATAATGTTGTTATTCTTGCTGTGCGTTCTAAATAGAAATCTAGAATAGTCAGTGCAGCTACAGTTCCTGGTAATCCCACACATGCACTGCTTTTTCCTCCTCCAAGTGACCTTTCCCCATTTCCACCTGGTAGATTGAGAGATTTCCATCAAAGCTATTTAAAGCAATATGTATTTTTACCCAGAGCCGGAGGGGGGAGAGTGAGGAAGCAGGCGCATCTGTGCTGCAAACTCTTTGTGAGATGGATTACCTACAAACCTCTCTTTTTTTGACAGAGATTTGACATTCAGAATTACTGGAATAACAGCGGATTCAGTGTTCCGCAATGTGAATGAAAAACATAAAATTGGACTGTGATTTGAAGAGCATTTATTTCTGTACACATTAACAAGTCACATTGATCATTATATCCAGTAAAATAGCACACATAGAAACAATGAATTAGACCAATATTCTTGGTTTTTCGATATTCTGGTCATTGTGCTCCAGGTAGAAAAATGGTATCAGCAATATTCATATGTATCTCACACACAAATTCCAAAGCCCTGCACTTCCCCAAACAGCAGATTTTAACAATACTCTACTGGACCTTATCCGATCCCTAAATCCTCAGCTCTACAGGAGCACGGTGACAGGTTTTGCATATGCCTAGACTACAGATCTCCCACTTCATAAAACTGTCAGATCTTGGCAACTCTTTTTTAACCTCCTTGGATATGTGCATTTCCTTATGTACATGCTCCCCATTACCAGTGCCAGATGGGTTTTTGTCCTTTTATGGTTCTGTTTTTTTGGGGGGTTTTCCACTTTAAAGGAACACTATAATATTAGGAACACCCTGTAAGTGTTTTACTTACCTTTTATTCCGCTCTCTTAGTGGCAGGCCCCACCTCCTAGGCTGAGATTATCAATCTAGATAATCTCAGCCAATCCAATGTTTTCCCATAGGGAAGCATTGGGAGTCTAGTGTGCATGCGCGACAAAACTCCACATTGTACCAATCAGATGGTCTGTTATTTCTGTGGAAGTGCCTCTAGTGGCTGACAGTGACAATGTAAACATTGCCCTACGTTTTGTTTTACATTGCAGGGTTAAAACAGGGACATGGCATCCAGACCACTTCATTGAGATGAAGTGATCTGGACGCATATAGTGTCCCTTTAAAGGGCCCCTGTCATGCTCCAAAAAACTAAGAATCTAATGAGCATAATAGTCTATCTATACAGCGTGCTAGCGGTTTTGCTGGCAAATGTATAGGCTAGGAGGAAAAAAGTGCATGTACTGTGGTTGCTATGGAAACCACTTCTAGCACTTGCTAGGGAGTATAGAAACAGAGTGACATCACTCCATTCCGACGCCAACACGCTGATGACAAAGCCAGCGTGCCACCATTACTGATGAGATTTGCTTTGGTTGGGAATATCCCCCTTTCTTTGTGAGGGACCAATTAAGAGGATAGTAGAGCTCACATAGGTTTAGTGTTTTTGGTAAACTCTCGTGATGTTGTGTCATTGGGTTACAGATATTGATACACTAAGGGTTGTATAGAGAGGCTCAGGGCACATACTATTAAGGGCTGTGCTAGTCTTGTAGTCTAGTAGTAAGGTATTCTGGAAGGATTCCATAGTGGGTTAAGTTTGTGATTACTGCCCTGCTGTCAGAATCCTATTCTTGAATCACTCACAGGAATAGTCTGACAGAGTCTTGCAGTGCTTCACTAATTGGGAGCTCATGGGTCCTGTTTCTCTGTGTCAATGCAATTTCCTCGTTCCCTAATCTGGATAAGAGTTTATTGTATTTCAAGACGTTTTACTAATAAGGAAGGTTGTTCCAATAAGAACAGTACAATTTTAATTGGTGTATGTTTTTAACGTGGCACAGAACACCAGATGTATTGCTAACTTTTATACATTTTGCCAAGTACCTTTTTAGTATCTTACATCAAACACAAATTTTGTATGGTCATGTTATGCAAATTAAATTGCTTATCCCAAGATCCTCTGCTTTAAAAAAAATTGCCCACACACACACACGTTTGGCTAATTTTTGCAATCTTGCCAGCATGGGGTTTTATGATCTGACCCCTTTTGAAGATTAAGGAGAAATAAATCTTTTTAAAAGGAAGTGAGGTCTCGTGTCAAATCCATGTTTACTACTAATGTCACTCCACTGTAAATATATATATAAAAAAAAAAAACTCTTGATTTCTACCTAAAATATAAGCTGCTCATGGTTATAAGTTTGTTGCAGTTTAGAGCAGATTGCCTTGCACATTTTAGTTTATTTGGTATTAAAATATATGAAGAAAAATGCTCTAGCATTACTGTATTACCTTGGATTCTCTCTAGACCAGCGGCACCCAAAAGGTAGATCCCCCAGATGTTTTAAAACTACAGCTTCCATGGTGCTTTGTCATTCTAAAGGTGAGGAAAGGCATGCAGTGCATCGTGGAGGTTGTAGTTCTACCACATTTGGGTATCTACCCTTTGGGCATCCCTGCTTTAGACTCTATCATCACAAGTTAAAAATCACAGCCAGCTGTTATAAGGTTGTGTGAGTATACACAAGCCATCATGTGCATATTTATTTTTATACACACAGCCACATGTTTAAATCCTATCAGGTCAGATTGTGACCTGATCTGATTTAAGGTCAGCTGGGTAAGATGTACCTCTGGTGCTGCCAATACAGAGAATAGCAGCGTGGGGAAAATAAATAAAAAGTACTGAGCTGTCCATCCGTTAAAAATAAATGGCATTTCATAACAGGGAATAGTCAGTACATACATTGAAAATTAATCTCACCAATTATCGCACGGTTTGGCCAAATCCTGCTTTTGGCACGTGTCTTCTCCATTTCAGACTGATGTCCGGCTCCTTCCAGGTCACATTCCAAATGTTCTCTTTTTTTTTTTTCCTCCTTCCAGGCTTTGTGCGGCTGCACTGTGAACATTCCTACCATTGACGGCCGCGTGATTCCTCTGCCCTGTAGCGATGTCATCAAGCCGGGCACTGTAAAGCGGTTAAGGGGAGAGGGTCTGCCGTATCCCAAAGTCCCTACTCAGCGTGGTGACCTTATTGTGGAGTTCCAAGTACGATTCCCGGACAGAATACCCCAACCCACGCGGGAACTCCTCAAACAGCACCTCCCTTGCTCTTAGTACCATCCATGAGCAGAAAGGGGCTGAAGGCCAAGCAATACATCACAGATCTGTGCCAAGACTTCACCAACCTTTACACTCTTTATTTGTACGGTTGTCAACTTGCAAAAACATGCAGTCTATGCACCCTTCCTCCTCTGTTAACTCCAGTAAACAAAAGCAGCTCCCACAGTTTGTGTTCTTTCAGCGCCTTATTTGCGTTAGACTTGAGGGTGCATTTCAGGTGACTGCCACAATCATTAAGATAAAGGAACACCGGATCCTTTACTGGTTCCCTCTATCTAAACTATAACCTCTCTGTTCTAGTCCCCTCCGGCAGTACAGGGGTCTAAGACTGGACATTCTGTTCTTTTTGTCCGATATTTAAAGGATTTAATCTGTTTTATTTATAAGATTTAGTCTGTTAATTTATAGCTTGTACTATGAACTTTTCAGGTGATACATTTATTAAAACCACACACCCTTCCAGGCACTTTAACCCTCTGGGTGCCAGAGTGGGGGGATAATTTACCTGCGCACACCCATGGTGCTCAGAGGGATGAATGACAGTATTTTTAATTATAATTCAAAAACAGATGAACTTTCTTGTAAATTACTTTTAAAATGTTTTTTAAAAAAATAACACTATTTGTAAATATAAGTTTTAAAATAGTCAGCAATTTTAACATTTCTATGCACTAAACAAATAAATGAATGGGAAAAAAAAATCTTGACTTATTTTGTATTTTCCTTTTCTGCAACTGGTTTAGATGAGGTGTGTGTTTGTGTGTGTGCTTTTGTGAACGTTTTAGGAGACCAGCAGGATTTTATTTTATTTTTTTTCCTGATTTGGATAATTACCTCAGTGTCTCTTTCCATTTGTGGCAACCACAGGAACTAGAATGTGTGAAAAAGTTGCAAGACCTAAGGGACAGGAGTAAACCGGACCCCGAAGTCAAGATTGGACTAAGTGGGAAATATGCAAAATTGAAAAATCAGACAATTATTTTTGAGATAAGGTAACCTCAAGTGAAAAAAAAGAGAATTAGCCACATAAGAATTAGCAGCTTAATATACATGGTAAAAATAAAATTATTTCGACTTTATTTACATACACAAAATAGACGTACATAGACAGTGAAAAATCAAAAAGTGAGAAAACAAGTGAATGTGAAAAATGATAATAAAAAGGAGAAACCATTGTAATCATGGTAAACCCAAATTGAAATAGTATCAAGACACAACTGCTTGCAATTACAATGTTATTCAAAAGATATAGATAGAGATATATATATATATATATTACACCACTAAAACATAGCTATTTGAACAGTCTTGGCAGTGTGTAGGAAATTGGAATAGACTAAAAAACCCTGAGTCTACCCTTTCTATACAAATAATTGCAGGGTATCTATAGGAATTATGGAGTAATTATTATAATATGATTAAAAGAGGGCAGGGCCTGAACGCAGAGCTGAGCAGATGCACACAAGCACAGCTCCTGCTCTGCATAATCTTTCACTCGGCGAAACGACACAAATAAGCCCAGAAATGCGATCAAATGAGCTACCGAAGGGTAAACGAAATTAGACTGAACAGTTTAATACCACACACACAAAGCAATCCAAGCCGGTTTGCCTGGATCCGCATCTGAGGCCTAGCATGAACAGCAGCCTGATTGCCGGGAGAGGCGGCCAATCTCCCGACGCTGGGTTGGTACCGAATTGCAGCTCTTCTGTTCCCCTGCTACCCCCCACTATGGACCGGTGGGGGATATCCTGGTTCCCGCTGGAGACTGATTTACCTACCACAGGGGGAACTGCAGTCCGGCCGCAAATCGCATGAGGCATCTAAGATGGCCGCCAAGCCATGTCCTGAACACGCTACAGATGACCCAGGGCTCCAACATTGGAGGCAGCGTTTCGAAGCCCGGTTTGACCAACTCTGCAGGGCCTTCTGGACGCGACTACAGTGCAAACCTTCCTCTCAAACCCTGCATGAAAAGCAGGGGCACGCACCAGAGGCTGCACGTCAGATCCACTCCGAGCACGGGATCTATACAGAGGTATGCCCGCTTCGCCGCCCAAACACCCGGAGGGCTCCCCTCAAGCCCCAGGGCTCCAAAACCCAGGTACACGCTGGGCAAGGCATGGCCACCCACAAAGCGACGTTACTCAAAGATGAAGACAACGGAGAAGCGGCAGAGGGCAGCTGGTCACTGCCAATACAAGAGCTCCCATTACAGACCTGCCTATGGCCCTCTGGAACAAGCAGAGGTCGCAAGGAGCGACCAAACGACCGCTCTTACAAACGGGACACTCACCAAGCACCAAAACCCCCCCAGAGAAGAAAAGAGAGGTACCGCTTACCCCACTGGGAGTCCTGGGAGCTTCCCAAGCCGGGGGATTGGCTGAGCCGGAGACACCCTGAAAACGGAGGGCTGAGCATCTAACCTCTGAGTCCCCAATGTTCACAATGGACACCATCTTGTTACAATGACATACTGTACCATCATAACTGCCCTGTGTCCCAGCGGCTAATTGGCTACCTAACTAGCGAGCACTATACACACATGAGTAGAATTATTTCCCCCCCCTTTTTTTTGTTTTGTTATTTAATACATAGCTCGCAGATTATCACCTTATCACTGGGACATCTCATCTCACCTTTTATATATAGGTGGCTTGTTTAGCGACATTCAAACATAAGAATTGCAATGTTGTCAGCTACACTTATAGCACACACATAGTGTTAACTTTTACGAATGTTATTATCTCTATAGTTGCATAATATCACATACAGTGCCTTCACTTAAGTTAAGAGATGACAACAAAGTCGATAGCAAGGCTGTGTTATTTAATGATGTCTGCCATGCATGATTAATCACTAACTGATCCAAGCAATAACCATGCAGATTACAATGTCAGGCTATATTATATGTTTATCTTGTTCACTTAACCCAAAAAACGTGCAATGCTTTCAATGCCATAGTGTTGTTTCTTTCTGTGTATCATCTGGTTTGCTTCAGTTATTGTGGCAGAGCAAACTTGCCTGTTAATTATTTGCACGAATAAAATAAAGAATAATAAAAAAAAAAAAAGAATATGATTAAAAGGATAATACATTACCCCCAATTTACTAATCAAAAAAAACAATCAAAATGCCAAAGGTATAGAAAAGCCAGTCCCTCGAAAATGTAAATGAAATTTAAATAGGTGTCTGGAAGGTATCTGGGATTAGTGAAAGTAGTTGCCATCCTAGATTAATACTATGTCCATAAAACACTTGAACCAGTATACAGGCATACTATACAGAATCCCTATTAAAATACATATCCATATATCTCCATATAATTTTTATTCTTACAGTTTATATTGAGCTGCTAATTCTTATGTGGGTAATTCTCTTCTTCTGAGAGCTTTTTCACATGGGGTTCCCTTCTCTCAAGAAAAATTCTGTCTTTTTAGTTTCTCAATGTGTGAAAGTTTGGACAATACAGACACTATAGTCTGAACGCTACAGAAAGTCTTTTTTTTTTTTTTTTTTAAATTCACTTTCATCCTAAATAACTGTAGCAGAAGGTTGACATGAGTTCCAAATATCACCAAGGTCTCTCAGAAATTCTGCTTCTATACAAATTTTCTTTGTCCAAGATTTATCCAAGCTTCTGTTATATAGAGAAAAAAACATTTGAACTAAACTATTACCTAAATTCTAGTATATTGCTCACGAAAAGACTCAATTTATAGTCTGGTGACTACTGGTTATGGGGCCATTTCCCCGACTCTATCTGATTTAGTGGAAGCAGGAAGTGGCGTCCAGGTAAGCACTCAAACCGTTCTAAAACAGTTAGGAGACCAGGGCACTCCTTGCCTCCCATTGTACAGCACTATGGAATTTGCTGGCGCTGTATAAATAATATAATAATCATAACCACTACAGCACACTGTTGTGGCTATGGAGTTTTGCGTGTTCCTTTACAAGCAAATGTCTTCATTGTTATGTAAAGTATCCTGTTCGTGTCCCATTCATTATTTTTTTTTTAGAGAAGACAGGGTCACTACTTGTATTTTTTTTCTAAATGGAAAAAAATTGAATAAAAATTGGATTATTATAAAGTGAGCCAACGTTAACTGGCTTGTATCCTTCATTTAGCAAACTGTAAGTACAAGGCCAGCCATATAGGATTAGTCGGACAGCAATTACTGAGGGCTTAGTTAGTCATTCCATGCTCTGCATTTTGCATTGCAGTCACGAGCTATTGAGGATCGAAATGACTTCTTCTGCTGGGGAGAGACTGTTTCACACAGAGCGGACCAACAAAACCTGTTCATAACACAGTCTCTTATTCATCAGTGCCACCTCGTTCCCAAAGCATCTCTCGCCAGCAGACCCACAGATAGAGTAGGATGACTCAGAGGCAATGAATAGTAACAACTGTGAACATTGACTTTTTCCATTTGAAAACTAGACTGTAATTTAATGTTTAAAGCCAGCAGTGTATGGAGTTTAACCTAAGACATAGGGGTACTTATCTAAGCCGTAATTGTTTAAAGCTCAGTAATTCAATGTCAAAAAGATTAATGATATCGGTATATTACATTATTTTTGTTGCGCAGAGAGTAATGTACATTCACAGAAAAATATGTCAGAATACCATGCAAACTTACTGATATGAAACATGGCATGGTTAGAGAGCGGCACTTTTATAAAATAAAAGGATTAATAAAAAACATGAAAAATAACAGTGCATGCAAGGAATAACAGAGAAGGAGAAACTGGGTTAACTTACAAAAACAAAAGCAAGTTTTATTCATGGGATACGTTAACTTTGGACAAAGAGCTGGGACACTTTGCTAGGGACAGAGAGTTCATGTGCTCGGCAGTGGTTTCATCTTATGCCCTTTTGGCATCGCACAGAGACCCACCAAGAAAGTCCCAGTGTCAGGTCTGGTAGCTTACTTATGAGAAAATACATGGTTACATTGTTGTATTTGGGCAGACTCCATGGGGTCCTCCAGGATCTTCCTGCCGGCTTCGGTTGCGGTGTGGTTTGGGGTACACGCTTGTAACACTATGGTGTTCTGGCAGGTAACATTCCGCACGTCCTAATATAGATTGGCGACCACATCATTGTGCTGCTTGGGTCCGGCCATGATAGCAGTCCTCAGCCAACTGTATGGGCTCCTGCTGTGAGTGCATGCTTCCAATTTTGCCCAGGAGGATTCAAATAGTTGATACATGCACTCCAGGACTTCACACTGCACTCCATTTGTAGGAGTACGCGGCATCCGCCATCTTGTGTGCTCAGTTCTTGATGCTTTCCCAGTAGTAATGCTGTACATCCTCAGCACAAGACAGAAGCCTCCTAGGGCTAGACTGGGATCACCCCATCAGTCCAAAGGGTGCATAGGAATGGAGATCAGCCGCCTCTCCACTCCCTCAGATACTTGAGGCCTCCAGGCCACTACACAGCCCACTGTAAGCAAAGATGTCCAGAGACTGCTAAAGGACAGCAGAAGTGACTCCACTTGGTTCAGGAACACTGCAATGGTAAGTAGCGTTGATGATAGGGTCTTATTACGGTTGATTGCCAGAGCTCTGATGAGATGCACCGTCTGTCGTGGCGGTCAAGTCTTACCCCTGATATTGGCTTTTTTTTTTTTTTTTTAATTTGTATTTTATTGAGTATTTTTATCAAAAGATACAACTGATACAGAG